GCTGGGTCGGTATTTACTGTTCTCCTTTGGTAGCATGCAGAGGACCTTCTGGTACCATGAACACTAGTCAGCAGGGGGGAAGGCTCTAGGTGAGAAGCAGCTAGACTTCTCTGTGTTCAGTGAGTTATTGAAGACCTCCGCAGAGGGGAGACCCTCACTCAAGTCTCAGAAAGTCGCAACCACCCAGTAATCTGCTCGAGACACCACGTACTGGAGCAATAGCAAGGTTTATTAGGGCATGTGACAGCTAGCTGTCGGTCAATTCGTATGCCCACGCAGGAGCTGAATTGACCCCGACAGCCAGTTTGAGAGGAGTTTTTAAGGGGGAAAACCACAAACCAAGGAATGGGGAGGGGGCTCATGGTTGTTAAGGTGGCATAACATACAAATAGCGGAACATTCCAAAGGAACCCAACCTACGTGAGTCAGGATCAGGTGAAAACTCTCTGTACGCTTATCTTTCTCAAGAATGTGGTCCTGCCCTGTCACTGTGGCCTTGCCCTGTCACTGCGGTTCTCAGCTTGGTTCCCAGCTGGCTAACTTGCATTCTAGCCAGTTCCTGTAACTAGCCTGTCCACATTCCCAATTTGCTTCATGGCTCTGTTTCTCAGAAAATTTTCCATGTCCTTATAAAGAAAGCCTAAAGAATATTTCACATGTCCAAAAAGGATTCTATATGCCCAGTATCTATAATTTTTCACTCTACATTATGTGTCTTCAGCAATATAGGGTGGTCATCAGTTTGTAGAGAAGGATCAATAGCTTCGGCGATAGGCTGAGTTGTGTTTCCATGGAGCCCCTTTGGACAACAACTCAGATGAATCCATTCCCAGCACTGGAGGTTTCATTTGGTGGGGAGAGATGTTGGGGTTTGATTTCTTACTGTACCCAGGACCACCAGCCTTGGGGTGGCGCTATGGCTCAATCTTTAATTAAGAAAATGCCCTACAGGCTTGCCTACAGCTTGACTTCCTGGAGGCATTTTTTTTTTCTCAGTTAAGTTTCCTCCTCTCAGATGACTCTAGTACAAACTAGAGAACAGCTTGATATAGCATATAAAACTTCTCTTCACAAATAGGGCCTAAGTTTTGTGAATCTACCCTTGGATTAGGTGTTCTCTGATCCCACTGTATGGGTTGGTAAACGGAGGCTGAGATGCGGAATGCAACTTGCTCAGAATTGGAATGTTGGTTCCTACTGTGCTTACGTGGTCTTATGTTGTGTTTAAATATAAATAATTACATTAGCACTCAGGAGGCAAAGGTGGGAAGATCTCTGTGAGTTCAAGGCCAGCCTGGTTTGCAAAATGAGTTCTAGGACAGCCAGGGATGCACAAAGAAACCCTGTCTCAAAAAAGGTTACATGAAGCCACAACTCTAAATATTAAGTAAGTTCAGAGAAAGGTAAACTATGTTATTGTGTTATTAGCTGGGAAAGTTATTATCCCAGCTAGCTACATGACACATGGATCCTAATTTTTCACTCTATCCTGTCAATTTTGACCCATCCCTTCTCCCCTCAAATTCCTTTGGTTTCTGTTCTTTTGGTGATAAGAGCATTTGGAAAAAAGTCTCTCCTTACATTTAAATATCTCTAGGAAGGACATGGGAAAAACTGCCACCAGCATTAGACATGTGACTCTGAAGAAGGCGGTCTGAGGTGGGGGTGTTTTTTATGAGTTTGGCCAGAGCCCAGAAAACTGTTGTCAAAGGCGTTCTGCTGCCACTTAGAAGCTTGCAAAGCAGAATTCCTCTCCTCCAGCTTCTGGTCACTCCAGAGGATCTATGTGAAACTAGGAGAATAGTTGGAGACAATAAGAGAGGATGAACAGATTGTTTTGCTCCTAAAAGGATTTACACATGTGACTTAAAAGGCAAGACATCAGATTTGTATGCGGGTTCACTCCCATGGCCTCTACATGGTCTGGATACTAATAACCCAAGTTGATTGCCACTAGCAGCAGTGGGTACAACCATAACAGCATTATCAAGTTTCCAGCTCAAGTTCATGCCCAGGTCTGAAAATAGAAACACTAGTTAGACTGTCTGCCAGTTAACACCATCTACCGGGCCCTTCTTAAGGACAGAATTAAAATTAACATGGGGGAAAAGACCTAAAAGTCTTATGGGAAATGCAGCACGCAAAACACAAACAAAACAAAAAACAACCCCCCCCCAACTCATAAATTGTTTCTATTCAAACTACAAAGGACAGAATTAACTACTACAATGAGCACATAGGGATGAAATTCAGATGTGGAACGCACAGGTCATAGACTGTGGTCAAATGTAACTTTGTTCTTTTGGCTTTTAGCATCTTTTCAAATGTTTAACCTAGGAGCTGCGCTTACGTTATCTTCCTTGGTTCCTGAACAGAAAAGTACATAGACCTTTACCGTTTGGTTTATTCTCTGACAATTAATCTTTTACAGAAAAGTCCCTTGAAATTAAAAAAAAAAAGTCTAGATTTAGTAATTAGAATGTTTCTAGGGAGCCAGGTAGTGGTGGCACACTTGGGAGGCAGAGGCAGGTGGATTTCTGAGTTCGAGGCCAGCCTGGTCTACAGAGTGAGTTAGGACAGCCAGGGCTATACAGAGAAACCCTGTCTCGAAAAACATAAACAAAAAAAAAAAAACAAAAACAAAAACAAAACAAAATGTTTCTAGGGAGCCAGGCGGTGTGGCGTACACCTTTAATCTCAGTACTTGGGAGGCAGAGGTAGGTGGATTTCTGAGTTCGAGGACAGCCTGGTCTACAGAGTGAGTTCCAGGACAGCCAAGGCTATACAGAGAAACCCTGTCTCGAAAAACCAAGAAAAAAAATACTCTTCTTGCCAGGCAGTCGTGGTGCACACCTTTAATCCCAGCACTTGGGAAGCAGAGGCAGGCAGATTTCTGAGTTCGAGGCCAGCCTGGTCTACAAAGTGAGTTCCAGGACAGCCAGGGCTATACAGAGAAATCCTGTCTCGAAAAAAACAAAAACAAACAAACAAACAAACAAAAACAAAATGTTTCTAGTCTAAAATGTTAGTCATATTCTCAAATCTTCATGCTAAGGTATTAATCAGTCCAAGACTAACTGCTCTCTCCTTCCCTTAGTGGGGCCATGGCTGGTGGCCACCAGCCTTCAGCTTTCTCCTAGATTACTGACATCTGCCTCCACCCACACCACCAAAGCTCTCCTCCCATTAGCCTGCTGCTATTCCATCTGCTTGTGTAAAAGCAGGAGGAAGCAGGATGCCGGAATCCAGAGGGCTGCTCTTTGGAAGGTCAACAGATGATAGAAGCTGATTTTTCCCCCTTGAGGCTTTTAACTATTCTTTGGAGATTCCCGTCAGCAAAGCCCCCATAAGTAAATGCATTTCGCTTAGAGAGACATGGAAGTGCAGATCTACAACAAACTATGGATTTTAGGCTTCCTTCCTCCCTAACTTCAGCTATCTGGTTCCCCCATGCCTCTCGACTGCTCTTTAGGCAACTCTGTGTTGCCTGTCTGTTACGAGGCCCACAAGGAACTGAGATGTGCATTCTCTGCAGCTGCAGCCCTCTCCCACTCACAGGCAGAAATAATAATGTCGTTATTGACTCGACAACATCAGGGAACACCTTTCAAACTCTCTGGTGCCAAAGAACCTCATTTTCTTGAGAAGAAAGAAATCTTTGAATGGAAGGTCAGGTGGGAGTCAATAGCACTAGTTTTCCCTTTGAGGCTCTTCACAGGCCTCCCTCCCGAAGGCCTCCCTCTTACAGGCCTCCCTCCTATGTGCTCTTGGTTTCATTTTGGGTAGAACTATTCTTCAGCATGGGCCTTGTACATAAAAACCTTGTTGACACAATCATCCTTTGTCTCCCAATCCCTAATAAAAAGGAACTACACTTCATCTCTGTCCCCTGAAAAACTGAGACCCCAGGAAGTAAACACTCAGTAAATGGCTCAACAAATCCATAGTAATGTCTCCAAGACACCTCAAAACAACCTGGATGGGCAGTCTATTTTATCACCACTGACAAAATGCAATCACTCATACATTTATAAAATACTGAGTTTTTTTCATAACCTAAAATCTTTAGTATTTACCACTCAATAAATCTGGGGATTGCGTTGGGGAAAGGGAGAGTAACCATCAGGGCAAATAATTGTCTTCTCAGAAAAAAAATCCCCAGTGCAGCAGGAATTATAGATTGTTTTTTTTTTTTATTTACTAGTTTGTCTGAAAAAGAAAAAAAGAAGAACGCTGGGCGGTGGTGGCGCACGCCTTTAATCCCAGCACTTGGGAGGCAGAGGCAGGCCGATTTCTGAGTTCCAGGCCAGCCTGGTCTACAGAATGAATTCCAGAACAGCCAGGGCTACACAGAGAAACCCTGTCTCGAAAAACCAAAAAAAAAAAAAAAAAGAAAAGAAAAAGAAAATCAAGAACAACCTAAAATTGAAAAAATAACAAAAGCAATACTAGATTTTAATCGTGACAAAAAGTCAATGCTTTACAAACAGATGATGCTATAAAGATTTCACGTTACTATTCTAATTTTTCTGTATGTTTGAATATTTTTAACAGAAGTAATATTAAAATTTTAAGTTGAGAATTGTTGTCCTTATCTTTCTTCAGGAAGGTCGCTTGCTTTGTCAGTTATGTGACGCTTGTACTCTAAATGGGTGGTGCTAAGCAGAGAAGACTTTGGGCAGGAGGTGTCAGGACAGTTTGCAGATACAGACTCTGGGAGGCAGACTAGTGGGGATGCCCTAGTCCACACAGACGCAGACTTACAGAATAGGGTTAAAATTCGGGATTTTTCTTCACCATTGGAGCAGGTCGCGAGGTCAGAAGCTATGGATGAGCTAGTGATCGCGGCCACGCCCACCGCTTATAGGCGGCGACTGAGGAAGGCGGGCCCACTCCTTAAGAAAGTTTAAGAACCGTCGCCTTCCACAGTCTGCGCAGGCGCGCTCGGCTTGCTCACATTGGCCAGCGCGCAGGCGCCTACGCGCTCGCCGTCTGGCGCTGTAAACCCGGGGCTGCCGCGGGCCGCTTCTGCTTCCGGGTCACGCCTTGACAGCGGCTTCCCGGCCCGATCTGCCCCGCGGTTCGGTGAGTGCGGCCGTGGGTGCGGGACGGTATGAAGCCAGGCCCCCACAGCCGGTGCTTCGCAGCCTGTTAACGCCCCTTAGCCGCCTGCCCGGGCTGTGTGCCTCTGGACCGGGCCGCCGTTCCTGGTCTTCGCGGGTGGTGGGGGCAGGGGCCGGTCGGCGCCCCAGGGTGCAGGCTGAGGCTCCCGGGACTCGCCCAGATTGCTGCGAGCGCCCGGGGCTCCCTGCGGCAAGGGACGCCGCAGTCCTGGCATTTACTGCCGTGGCCCCCGCCCCTCTCTGCTCGTCCACATCCGGCAGCTGTGAGCCTCCAGCTGTCCGCTTCGTGGGGTTGGGAGCCTCCGGCCAGGCCCAGGTCACCGCGGGGTCGAGGTTCGGACCGGCCCAGAGCAGGGTCTGTTGGGTCTGTTGAGTGTCTTTGTGCATTGCTTTAAAAAAAAAAAAAGCTTTCTGTACATTCCATAGGGAGAAAAAAACCAGGGCATGGGGCAAATAAATGAGTCACAGCTGAGGAAAGGACCCTCCGGGGGTCAGACTGAAGAGTTGCTGGCCACGGGAAGGTAGATTATCTTGATCTATCCTGACAGCAGATGCTGTCCTCGCTGAAGGCACACAGTTTCACCTGGAGCTTCTGGGTATTTAGAGTTCTTAGCCTGGAATCCAGGAACACCGGTGAAATGAGTGCAGGGTTTAGTGTCATCTGTTTAATGTACCAGAAGTGTACCACGTCAGGCCAAGCCTTCTGCTTTAGATACTGTGGGCTTTGTCCCTGCTGTCCAGCACCATAGCTGAAACCCGGACTGTGCCTTTGCGCCCACCCCTGACCCCATGCCCTTTTGTCCCTTTTGTTACAAAGTTTAAGAGGATTTGCCGAATTCTAAGCAGCCACTACCAAGCCATACCCACAGCCCCGTATACTTTTCAGACAGCTATAAATGGCTACTGATTAGCAAAAAGAAAATACTAGAGTTTATACTACATCATCGAATGTATAAAGGGATACCCCAGCACAAAAGCAAACACACGTTACAGAATCATCGAAGATATTTTTCAGATTTGCGCCTCTTAGTAGTTGCACGTGTAATTACAAAAAAAATTAGTAGCTTCTGTAGTGAAAGCTTTTGCTTCTGAGTCACACCTTGACAGCAACTTACCTAACCCAGGGGTTTGGTGAGTGCCATCCTGGGTGCTCGGCAGTGTGATGACAAGTCAAATATGAACTTAACAGATTTATACTGAGGACCATCATGTGCCAGCACTACTTAAAAAAACAAAAAAACCCTCCCATTGCCTTTACTCTTGGGGAAGGGGTTGATACTAAGAACATAGATTCCTAAGCAAATACTCCAAAGACTTGGAACTGTTTATTATGCTTTCTCTCCCGGTGTTTTTTTTTTTTTCCCATAAGAATGCACCACCTCATTTTAAGATGTGTCATTTAACAAGTCTTCTGTAGTTACAGCTTTTGTTGCAGTTGAGACTAAGTTTGTTGAATTGGTTTCTGTCACCTGTCATCCTAGAACTCTTCTGCCATAATGTAGCTTCTTTCTTCCTTTCTTTCTTTCTTTCTTTCTTTCTTTCTTTCTTTCTTTCTTTCTTTCTTTCTTTCTTTCTTGTTTTGGTTTTTGTTTTTTCGAGACAAGGTTTCTCTGTGTAGCCCTGGCTGTCCTGGATCTCACTCTGTAGACCAGGCTGGCCTTGAACTCAGAAATCCGCCTGCCTCTACCTCCCATAGTGCTGGGATTAAAGGCGTGCGCCACCACTGCCCAGCCATAACGTAGTTTCAATACACGTGCACAACCGTATTTCTCGGACCTTTGGCTAGTCAGTTATTAAATTGTTTTTATTTTAAATCCGATTATTACCCACAGCTGAAAGGATTTTTTTTTTATTGGCTTGAAGCTTTAAAGATTTATGTTGATTCCAGAGTGGTTGGTTGTATGCTTACTTTCCCCCTTAATCTAGAATGTTACTTTATTTCTTGTTTTCCCCCCCCTTTTTGAATATTTGAAAATATTTCACAGATGACTTACCATCAAGATAGGTTTATCCCATCGCCTCCCGTTCCTCACAGGTAGCACACATTTTCGTAGTCTGTCAAGCAGCCAGCATTTGTTAAATATCTGCATCGTTTGGGATGCGGTGGCTGGCTTTACCGAGCAGAGAAGACGAGAAACGATGGTGCGGGCATACGTGTACTGTAAGGCAAGGATGTCAGGAACCTCAGGTGCTACCGATACTAAATAGCAGCAGTTCAGAGCAGGAAGAGAGTGGCGTGCTCTCTTAGGCCTTCAGGAGCTCTTACTCGGTGCTGGCCTTGAAGGCCGTGTAGTGCTCCAGGAGGATCTTGTCCTAGTTGAATCAGAGAGTAGAACGTGGGACCCAAGGATCGGAGTGTCCGGGTTTGCTTAACATCCTAGCAGCTGTTATAATCTCGTGCCTTACTATCCCAGGAGGTGACACCGATTAATCGCTAATATTCTTGGAGTCTGTTTTTATAGTGGGGACCCCTCAAAAAAAAAAAAACCGCTTAACCGTAAGGAGAGGTAAATCACTCAGTGATACTGTATGTGTCTAACTTGTTTCAGGCAGTTTGGAGCATGTGAACATCCTCTGAGCCTTGATGAGTTCCAGCATGTGGTATATTATGCAGAGCATTCAGAGCAAATACTCCCTCTCCGAACGCCTGATCCGAACAATCGCCGCCATCCGCTCCTTCCCACATGACAACGTAGAGGAGCTCATCAGGGGGGTGAGTGGGCTGCTGGCAGAGCGGACCTCTGAAGGGGCGGGGCGGGGCGGGGTGAGGGGCGGGGCGGGGGGCTGGGGAGTCCCTGCTAATCACTGTAGATTTTCAAGCTGCCACCTTGGTTTGGCATGTACTCCGTGCTCCGTGTTCATTGGTGGTTTTAGCCTGATTATTAAAACATGTTGTCCCTAATTATGCTTCACCTGTGTTCTCCCTTTCACTGTCCGTCCCCTTATAAAATATGTTCTAGAAAGCCCTCCTCCCGGGGTTTGGTTTGGTTTTGTACAATCTGCCCGGATGTGATGCATGCACGGGGGTGGGGGGTGGTGTGAACGCCACGCAGCTCAGGGCCTTCTGAACGTGTTTTACCTCTGGTAGCAGGAGGCACGCAAAGGGGTCGGGGGTCAGCTTTTAACTCCTCGGAGGTTTCCTTCAAACCTGGGTTAGAGTGTTTAATGGGGAGATTTCACTTTCTTGCTTGGTTACAATAGCTACCAACCAGTTCCAGTGCCCCAGAAGACACCATCCCCTAAAGTGTGTGGTAATTACAGATTAAGAAAATTAGAGACTGGAGAGGTGGCTCAGTGATTGCATGTGAACCCATAGCAGGTCGCTCCAGGGGACGTGAGGCCATGCAGAAAATTACACAGGGACACACACACACATAATCTAAAGCAATTCTTGGTTGGTCTTTTTTTTTTTTTTTTTTAAGAAAGGAAACAGGTTCTCTGCTGTCTAAGCACAGCTCTCTACAGCCCTGCCCCATGGCAGGTGCCCTAGAAAAGTTTGGTGCCCTTCCCCCTTTGAGGAGAAGTAACAGAATGATGTTTTAGAACCTGTAACCATGCAGTCACTCTGCATCTCACGGTTTAAAACACCTTGAGGATCTTCTGTGTCAGTGCAGTTCTGTAAGTGCTTCAGAGCTGCACCCCGCCAAAGGAAGGCGTGCGGACAGCTCGTCCTCAGCAGGCCAGGCTGGGAGACTCCGGAGTAGAAACTTAGTCCAGCACCGCTGCTGAGTCACTGGGCTTTGGTTTGAATGCCGTACTTTGAATCTTTCTTATCAGACTCGGAACAGTGCTGAGACTCAGGCTGCCATGAAGAGTCTACAGACAGAGCAGTAAGATGGCCTTAGAGTTGGTGAATTGACAAATTCTCCAGTTGACAAAAAGAGCCAAAGTTCTGGCCTCAGTCTGACAGACTAATTTTTATGACTTTCAGAGCAGGGTGACCGTAGACAGTAGGTAGACGGTCTCTTTAAGGTCATGTCCTCAGAGGTGTCCAAGTGGCCATTTTGGCAGGCTATGTTGTAGAGAAACTTAATAGCTTAATCCAGGGAACTGTGCAATACATGCATGCCTGGTGCCTGAGGAAGCCGTGCTAGGAATCGAACCTGTGTCCTTCACAAGAACAACAACTGCTCTTAACCACTGAGCCAACACTCCAGCCTCTGCTCTGGGGAACTAACTTCCTTTTCTTCCTCTTCCATATTCCCTTGGTTTGAGTATTGAGTCTCATTACTAGAGTGATGGGTACCTGTAGTTAGGTATATTCAGGCTTAGGAATCCCCTCTCTAGTCGGTGAGTTCTGTGTCTTCTGAACTCCTTCCCACAGGGAGCAGATGTGAACTGCACGCACGGCACACTGAAGCCCCTGCACTGTGCCTGCATGGTGTCCGACGCTGACTGTGTGGAGTTACTCCTGGAGAAGGGAGCAGAGGTGAGTGACGTTTTCAATGCTTCTACATTCACGAGTCATAAAAACTTGACCCTCATGTTTTCTTAGACTTTCTCTCTGCACCTTCCAGCTTACTTTGTAATTCATAGTGACATTAGCACTTACGTTACTAAAGCAAGGTGTGACCGACCATGAATCCATATGAGTCCAAGATGGTTCTAAGGATCTTATCCCTTTGCCTTTCTTGTTTTCCCTGCACTTAAGCTGTACACGGCTCTGGGAAGGAGTTTTGATGTCTTTCCTTCCCTGCCTCCCTCCTGGGCTGGTCATGTTTCCATTACTCCTCTCCTGTTGACTATCCAGTTACAGAAGTACAGAGGCTTCTCAACTCTGATTAATTTTAAGCCCTGTGAGACAGTCTTAGACATGTGAGATTCTGTAGATATTGCCATGGGGCTGACCATTCCTCAGGATCTGGTCACTTGTGCTTCCCCCCCCCCAACCCCCAGCTATTTTTAACATAACTTGGTCTAATTGTCTTTGTAATATATCTTAAGATAAAAATCCAAAATTAATTTTTGAAAGTGGATTCTTGATATTGGCATGAAGCCGCATAATGTAAAGAATGATTAAAAGAATAGACTCTGTGACCCCAGCCGTGCTGCTCAAGTATTCCCCTGTGACCCTAGCCGTGCTGCTCAAGTATTCACCTGTGACCCCAGCACTGGGAGGGCTGAGTCAGACAGACTGCAAGCTGGACTCCAGCTTGGATATATAATAAGACTTTGTCTGAAGCTGACCATCCCTCATCCCCAAAACCATCTCTCATCCCCAAAAGGACTTTGGAACCAGATTTTATGGATTCCAATTCTGACACAATTCCCCACCTATAAAAAGGGTGTGTAATACGGTTGGAAGTGTTGGGATTGCTGGCTTGCAGCTGATGTTAAACAAATACATGACAAATTAATGTGGCAGCTTTGTTGGTGATCAGCCCTGAAGGTGGCATATGCTGAGGTTACAAGCCATCAAGCCAGTGTGACGTCCCAAACACATTGGACAATAAGCTGAAGTACCCAGTGCCACCATAGCACCTCCATACAGCCATGATGTTCTCTGTCTATAAGTTTGTGATTAAACAAACCAGTTATAGTCTATAATGTTGTGATTGACCTGTTTGCAATGTAAGTGACCCTGAAGTGAAAACCCGGTTATACCCTGAGTGATTAATACCAGTGACCAGACTGAAAGTGAGGCTTAACGAAACAAAACAGTTAACTCCATTAGATGGTTTGGTTTTGCTTTATTGCATTGTATAGTATGGTGGTTTGAATAGGTTTGACCCCCATAGACTCTTGTTTTTGAATGCTTGGCCCATGGGGAGTGACTTTATTAGAAGTGTGGCCTTGTTGGAGGAAGTATGTCTCTGTATAGGAGGGCTTTGCGGTCTCATATGTTCAAGCTAGGCTAGTATAAAACACAGTAGTCTCCTGCTGCCTGTGGATCAAGATGTAGAGCTCTCAGCTCCTTCTCCAGCACCACGCCCGCCTGGATGCTGCCATGCCTCCCGCCATGATGATACTGGATGGAACCTCTGAAACTGTAAGCCAGCCCCAATTAAATATTTTCCTTTATAAGAGTTTCCTTGGTCATGGCTTTTCTTCACAGCAGTGAAAACCCTAACTAAGACAGGAGTTGGTACCAGGAACTGGGATAGTGCTGTGATAGGCCTGACAGTGCTTTTGTTTGGAAGGATTCGGATTTTGGGACTGTGGATTAGGACGGCAGTGGGATGCCTTAATTGTGACTTAATGAGTCATACTAGTAAGAACAAGGAAGACAGTTGTACTGAGGGGGATTTGATCTGAGGTCCTGGCTCAGGAGGTTTCAGAGGAGAAGAATTTTAATGTGTTGCCTAGAGATTGTTTTTGTGATACTTTGGTAAAGAATGTGACTGCTTTTTGCCATTGTCTGGGACAGTCTGCTTGAGGCTAAAGTGAAGAGATTCATATTAATCGAATTAGCAAATGAAACAGCCTAACCTCAGCTTGGAAGCATGTGGTTCAGTCCTTGAAGAACATTTTGATGAAATGTAGCAAGCTTAGAAAAGGAAAAATAGAAAATGTATAGTTTGAGGATTAAAAGGACACCAAGAAGTGGGATGGAGCTAAATCCTGTGTTCAAGGAGACTAGTGGGTTAAAGATATTAAGTGGAATTGAGGGAGTGGTGACCTTGGAACAGGATCCCGCCCAGCTAAGCTTCCATCCTGTGAAAAGGAATGATAGGAAAGTCTAGGATCAGGTGTGATGGTACACACCTCTAATCCCAACACTCAGGAGACAGAGGCAAGCAGATCTCTGAGTCTACAGATCACGTTCCAGGACAGCCAAGCTGAAGGAGTTGAAAAAGAGAAAGCTGGTAATAGAAAAGGGGGATCGTGTTCCAGCCCCCAGAAAAGCAACAGAACTCGGCTGCTTCAGCCATGTGGCTCTGGTTTAGAGTCAAGAGTAGAAGGCATTACTGGGACAGTTGATGCTGGTTAACTGGAAGTAAGAAATTAGTGGTGAGTAAAAGAGACCAGCATCACTGAGGTGAAATCTTCTGGGAAGTGTTTTCTGAGAGCACAAAGAAACTGTGTTCAGAGATAGCCAGGGTTGCACCTTGTGCTGCAGCTGTACTTGGTAAAGTGTAAGAGTCATCCAGGTGGTACTGATTTTGAAGGCATGAAGGGGTCATGAAGAGCAGCTGAGGCTTGGGACTGTGAGAGGCCAGGGAAGGCCATTGGTGAAAGTAGGGCCTCAGCTGCAGTTGATGGCCCAGGACTGAAGGGGTCACGCAAAGGATTTGAGGCTTGGCACCATGAAGAGAGCCTATGAGAGGCTGTTGGTGAAGCCTAGTTGCAGGGGAAGATCCCAACATATTGGAGATGCCAGTACCGTGGGCTGATCACCAAGAGCAGCAACAGCAGTGGAGTCAACCAGAGCCTAGAGCGCTACACAAGGCAGAGCTGGAGAAGTGACCCAAGCCCTTTGGAGGAGCCCAGAAGATTGTGTGTGAATCCCAGATATGTTGGAACAAGAAGCTGTAAGGTTGAAGTTGCCTTGGAGACCCAAGATACCAGAGCTGTGGGAGACCTGCTGAGGAAAGCTGCTAAGGGGAGTGCAACCAGCCCAGGAGAAAGAGCTATGTTGCAATCAACAAAGCTGAAAGAAGATGGAGATGCAGAGTTTTGAGTTTGCCCAGCCGGTTTTTGGTCTTGCTTTGTTTCTGTATTTCCTCACTATGACGTTTTGGAATGGTAATGTATATCCTATGATCTATATCCTATGATGTTGGAAGTATGTGATCTGCTTTTTGATTTTGATATTATAGAGATTGCATTAATTAAGAGATTGCATGAATCTCAGAGCATCCTTTGAACTTTGGACTTTTAATTTTAAACACTGCGAGACTGTGATAGACTATGGGGACTTCTGAAGTTGGAGTAAATGCGTTTCACACTGTGTTATGAGTACAAGCCTGTGGGGGCCAGGGAATGGAATGTGGTGGTTTGAATAGATTCGGCCCCATAGAGTCATGTAGTTGAACGCTTGGTCCGTAGAGAGCGACATTATTAGGAGCTGTGGCCTTGTTGGAGGAAGTACATGTCTGTGTGGGTGGGCTTTGAGATTCCATATATATACTCAAGCTGTGTTTAGTATTAAACACGGTAGTCTCTTCCTGCTGCCTGTGGGTCAAGATGTGGAGCTCACAGCTCCTTCTCCAGCACCACGCCCGCCTGGGTGCTCCCATGCTGCCCGCCATGATAATGGACTGAATCTCTGACACTGTAAGCCACCTCCAATTAAATGTTGTCCTTTATGAGTTTCCTTGGTCATGGTTTCTCTTCACAGCAATGGAAACTCAAACTAAGACATAGGGTGTGAAGGAGATCTTAAGCCCTCTGTAAATTAGGAATTTGAGATAATGATAGTTTCAGGGAGGCAGCTGCCATCTTAGCACTGGAAGTTTGTGCTCTTCCTGCCAATGAGGTCATCTGAGCCTCTGTAGGGTTAAAACACAACAAAGTGAAAGGACAGAGTTCTGTCTTCATCACTTTTCCTTCTGGTTACCATTAATCACAAGATAAGTGTTAGGGTAAGTTAATGCCGAATTTCTCTCAAAGCAGTATTGCAGACTTGGACTTCATCCTTTCCTCCTTCCTCCCTACTCAGGACAGCGACACTAATAAGCAGAGAGGTAGACACTAGGTAGTCTGATAGCCAGCCCCAGTCAGACAGTTCTCTATGTCTTTCATCTCATCTTGCTTACCAGGACTTCCAGGAAACTAGATGCACACTACCTTATTGTTGAAAGCATTGCATGACAAAGACAGTGGGAAAATTGGTACAGGATTCTTTGCCAGCCCCTTCCTTCTCCACAGTAACCTGCCCAGTATAAAATAGTTCCTTCCTTTCTACAGGTCAATGCCCTGGATGGTTACAACCGAACAGCCCTCCACTATGCAGCAGAGAAAGATGAGGCTTGCGTGGAGGTCCTGTTGGAATATGGGGCAAACCCCAATGCACTGGATGGCAACAGAGACACCCCGCTTCACTGGGCAGCTTTTAAGAACAATGCTGAGTGTGTGCGGGCTCTCCTGGAGAGCGGGGCCTCTGTCAATGCCCTGGATTACAACAATGACACGCCACTCAGCTGGGCTGCCATGAAGGGAAATCTCGAGAGTGTCAGCATCCTTCTTGATTATGGTGCTGAGGTCAGAGTCGTCAACTTAAAAGGCCAGACACCCATCTCCCGCCTGGTGGCTCTGCTAGTTAGAGGACTGGGAACAGAGAAGGAAGACTCCTGCTTTGAGCTCCTCCATAGAGCTGTTGGACAGTTTGAATTAAGGAAAAATGGCATCATGCCACGAGAAGTGACCAAAGACCAGCAGCTGTGCGAAAAACTGACTGTGTTGTGCTCAGCACCAGGGACTCTTAAAACCCTCGCCCGCTATGCTGTGCGCCGCAGCCTGGGTCTCCAGTACCTGCCTGATGCAGTGAAGGGTCTCCCCCTGCCAGCATCTTTGAAGGAGTACCTGTTACTCTTAGAGTAGCCTGGAGGAAACATTTCTGCCATCATGCAGACAACTCTGGGTGAGGTTTTCTTTGCAGTACTGTCTCTTTGTTGTGGAACACAGAAAAGAACTTGTTTCTGTTGTGTGGTTTATAGATTCTGAGGCAACACATATCAGTAATGTATGTACCACCTCCCCTCCCATACCAAGCAACCCAACCAAAAAATTTACCTCACTTCTGTTTCCTGTTTCATTGCTTAGTTGCCTTTTTATATTCAACCCTGCAAAAGAAGTCTTCCCCAAGTCCTCTGTCGGAAACTTTAGTCAGCAGTGTAACTCTGTTTCCTAGGCAGATGTAAAGTACTTAGATTACGTGGTTTCCCTCTGGGGCCATGGTGTAGCATTGTGAAAGAGTTCCTTCGGAAAAGTTCTAGTTGATCTGAAGTTTAAGAAATCCACTCTCCAATTAACAAGAATTATGTTCCAAGGATGAGTGCTTAAACTTCAGACAGGGTGTGGATTCAGAACCTGGCATTCAGGAGCACTGGCTCTTTCCCATGTGGTACCCAGGGGTTAGTCATCCAGCAGTGGGACTTCACAGGGATATCTGGCTGCTCCCCATGAGAAGAGACACAAATTCCCAGCAGTCTCAGGATTGCCGGGCCAGCCTTCTAATGCGGCTCTTTCCCTGAAAGCTTCTTTGCACTAATGAGCTGAACAAATGTCCTGTACCTCGATTAAGGCCTCTCTAGTAAGGGTGGAGAGTGGGCAGCACTACCTTCTCCAGAGAGCTCCGTTCCCTAAGAGTTTGCAGTTGGTTTTTTCCTCCTCTTGGAACCTTTGCTTTTTGTTGAGCTATAGAAAATGGTGGGGTAAGTGGAGCCGGGGACGGAATACAAAAGCGGTTCTTTGGCACTGGCCCGCCTACCCTAAAAAGACCCATTTCTGTGAACAATGCTCTTCCTTTTCATGTTCTTAAACTAGATGAAGTTGATTTTGACCTTAAGTGATCTGTATGCAAGTTTGGAAGTCACTTTTTAAAAAGCTGGCTGGAGACGACACCCAAATGAATAGGACCTTCTGACGCAGCCAGCTCAAAAAGTGTGCCTGCTTTTGTTTTTGCTGTTGCTGGGGTTTGCCCATTTGAAAAAAGAATAAATAATTCTAAAAGCAAATTTGGCAACTTGCAGTTTCTACGTTTCTCTGCTTCCTCTTCTGCCCATTTATAAGAAATTGCTAGCTCTTTTGCTAGCTCTTCGGCATGCCTTTCCTACTCCTCCCAACAAGTGATTGTGGACAGGAAAGTGAGGATGTGGTATGCAAAAGGCCTCCACTTCCCAGAATCCCCCTACCCCAGAGAAGAGAGATGTTGCAAGTCAAGTTTCCAAGGCTGAGATCCAGTACTGCAGGCAGCACCTCTCAGCCTAACAGGAATATTAAATGCTAAAGCCCGACTCGACCCACCAAGACTGAATTAGTTCAGAATGGAACTTGGCACTGCCATTCTGAAAGGCAGCCAGGCCCGTTCTGCTCTTCAGCGTGCTTGGGAACCACTGAAGATGCCCTTTCCTTTCTCATCACTGACACCCGTGGTACTTGGGAACAAGATGTCTGCATGGGCTCCGTGTTTTCTCAGGCACTTCCTAATTAGTCAGTGGCTACTAATGCATCTGGTAGACACAGCCTCACCGGTCTTTGACTGTGGGAAGACAGGATGTGGTCCTTGTCTACATTTGTTATCAGATCTTTCTGTGATCCTGAAATACCGTTCTTTGTGACCTGTCACTTTTCCTCTGACTGTCAGTGAGGACAGCTGCCCTTGTGACCCAGTGTGCAGAGCTCCCCCTTTCTTTCTCCCAGTCTGTGGAGTTGGTCAGGCCTGGGTAGCGTGTGAGGAGCGGAATGGTTTCCAGATCAGTTTGACTGGGACTAAAGAACCGGTGCAGCAGTTAAGGGCACTTGTTGATCTTGCAGAGGACCTGGCTCAGTTCCCAGCACCCACATGGTGGTTCAGCACCGTCTGTAGTTCCAGTTCCAGGGGACCTGACACCCTCTTCTAACCTCTGTGGGCAGCAGGCATGTATGTGGTACACATACTGACAAGCAGGCAAACACTCATAAACATTACACATAAAGTAAAGCTTAAAAAAATTATTTTGAATCCGCTATCCCAGGGCATAGTGTACAGAAAGCCTCCACTTCCCAGAATCCTCCTACCCTAGATGTTTCTCTTCGTAGCCCTGGCTATCTTGGAACTCACTATGTAGACCAGGCTAGCCTTAAACTCATAGAGATCCTCCTGCTTCTGCCTCCTGAGGGTTTGGGATTAAAGGTGCCACCACACCTGGCTTGTGTGTGTGTGTGTGTTTTAAAGATCAGTTTGACTCCCGGTTTGTTGCTAAAATTTAGACATCACTCTGAGACAGTGTCCTCGTCTCTGAAGAGGATGGTAACATGTAGAATGCCTATCACAGCACTTGGTGTTTAATGTTAATTTCTCTGGCCTTTAAAGTATGCCAATGAGTATTTCAGCTGCCTTAACTTCAGACTGTGACAACAACAGCCTATTTAGAACTGCTGAGAAGGATGTACAGTAGTCTTTCAGATAGCCAGATACCTATTGCAATACTGTGAGTGTCTTTCCTGCTTCAGCAGGCAAGAAGAAAGCTGTATGGATTGGGAGGAGTAGGCTTATGTGCAACTGAGTCACAGTCTGGTGTGTGGAGGCTAATCTTCACCGCAAATTAAAAACAGGACATGCTCCTGTCAACCTGGAGTATAGTTTATAGTCCCAAGCCTGGAGCCCAACTGCAGTGGACACTTGAGTAATGAGGGTACAGCTTCTGTTGTCAGATTTTAGCTAAGTAAGATTTGACGTCTCTCCGAAACAGATACACATACTCCAACCAACGCAGGCTCAGAACGGGTGTCTCTATTGTCCAGGCTTACAAAATGGACATGTCTTCCCCACAGAGGAGCTGCCAGAATCCTGCTGATTTGAGCGGAGATTGTGGGATGGCTAGGAAAAGGGAAGCTGGGTAGTGGGTGTGTGACCGAGAACTAAGCCCTCACTTCATGCTCGGAGACAGGCCATCGACCATAGAGACGATAGAGACCAGTAGGGGACAAGCCGCGGGCCAGCCCATGTGTTCTGGGTACACCAAGGGGTGCTACAAAACCCCCAACAACAAAAACCCTGTAGCAAGCAGAAGTGCACGCAACAGTCACGTGTGCTGCTCTCTGAGGAGCTCTGTCTGGGTGGGGACACAGGGCTGACAGTGCAGTCCCCTTGGGAAGACGGATAAGAACAGGAGGGCCCAAGGCACAGTGGCAGCTGGCATTTATTAGTGTAGTTCCACTTCATCACTGTGGTACAAGTGAGGGACCTAAGACTCTTTGTTATCACAAAGAAATAAATAAAGCTGATTTTTAGGAAAACTCTTGAGTAGCTGAAATCTAGCAGGAGCACTAGAGAGATCCAGCCTGTGTGACAGATGAAGCTGGGGGGGTTGGGAAGGACAGCTACCTAGGAGAGTCACTCACCGCCCCTCCCCCAACTCCTGGCCACAGCTTGATCCTGGTTGCAGGTACAGAGTACAGGGAAACCTAGCAGGGGAGGGGGAGGGGCTAGAACACTGACGCCATGGACTTAAGATCTACCAGCCTGTGAGCTGACCATGATCAGATGATCTTTCCCCCTCACTCCAAACAAGTCTAGACAGCAGCTTCTCCAGACCGCTTCCTCGAAATGTGCTCCAGGTGGGCGTGGTCAGAGGTGTCCAGATCAATCTCGTACTTGGCTAGGATTTTGAGGATTGGCCTCAGCTTCAGCCACCACTGTTCTTTGGGGATTCGGTGCCTACAGAGAAATGAAGTAATGGTGAGGTGATATTGTACTCCAGTGAAGTTCTGCCAAAGGCTTATGGGAAGAAGGTAGGCAGAAGAGGCTGAAGTACCCACGGGTGTTACTACACAAAGGAAGCACTGGAGACTATTAACAGGCCATGGAAAGCAGGGCTGGGCAGGGAGCAGAAGGAAGAGGGCAGTTCTAGAATCCAGTAATGACTTACTCAAAATCTGTCTGGTCCTTCAGCTCAGTCACTGGCTGAAAGACCAGGGCCCTCTTACGCATCCCCAGAACGCAACCTGAGTCGGGAGTGTTGGCAAAGATCCGTCCTGGAATAAAGGATGGGTCAGTTACTCAGTCAACTGAGTAGTGGACCTCTGGAGGGGGTTCACCCTCCCGCCTCACATACCATTACGGTAACTCTCTTTGATTTTCCCAGACATCCAGTTCATAGCCTTAGCACCCATCTTAGTGGCAAAATTCCTGTCAAAGGGAGTTGGGCTTCCACCCTGAGGGGGAGAAAATCAGACACATTAGAGGACAGGATCCTAATGAAGCACAGATATCTAAATATACAGAAACAATGGGCCTTGGGTTAACAGGGTGGAAGTCAGACCATGGAAAGACACTCGGAGACACTGAAGGGACCTGATGTGAGCTGGCCTGTGATCAAGCACAGGGACGGTCAGTTAAAAATCACATGCTTCTCTTTATCCCACAGGTGACAGATCCCATTTCAGTCTGTCTACTTGCTAGTATGGCAGCTTGGCAGTCACCGTCAACACTGATATGGAAATGTCCTCTGTAACCCAACCTAGCCGTTCCAGGGAGGACCTCAGAATATTCTGTCAGTTTTTCTATGAACTAAGAGAAAGCAGGTAGAGAAGTGGGAGGGTAGAGGAAAAGGACATAGGTAGGACTCTGTGTGTGTGTATGTGTGTGCACATGCACACACTCATGCATACATACATACATACATACATACATATACATACACACATACATATCCATCCACCCAATAACACTCCACTCCCACAGGAGCTGTGTACCTTTCCTCAGCCCAAGATATTGGGAATTCTTTGTGGGTAGAGGAACATTGGTGCTTAAGAGGCAGGAATGAGCTGGGGCCATCTGGGTCTAGACCACCCAGCAATGATGCCAATCCCCTGAAGCCCAGTCAGTGGAGATGGAAGCCAAGATGAACACGCGCCTACACTCGTGCCTCAGGCTCATGGAAGATGAAGGTACGGTGGGAAAACCATCTTAAGTAGGCAGACTCAGCTCTAATTCTCATTTGGTAAGTGGTGTTGAAAATGTTTTTCTCTCTGACCCCATTTTCCTCATCAGAATCGCTGGTTCTCAACTAGAGTTCCCCTGGGGGACATCTGAGTGTCTTCAGAGATGTTTTGTTAACACTGACAGGGAGGTATGATTAACTGAGTGACCCATAGTATGTAGAGTCCAAGGGTGATGTTAAGTTCCTGCAATGCACAGAGCAGTCACCCAACAGCAAAGAACTAGCCATCTCCCTGTGGCAATGATGTCAAGGTTGAGGAACTACATCCCAAGCAAAGAGAATGGATCCCATCTCTAGGGCCGTGTGGGGGTTTGAGTAAGAAGGCCCCTATAGGCTCATACATTTGAATATTCCACCACCAGAGAGTAACACTATTAGAAACAATTAGAAAGATTACCCTGCCGGGCGGGGGTGGTGCACGCCTTTAATCCCAGCACTTGGGAGGCAGAGGCAGGTGGATTTCTGAGTTCGAGGCCGGCTTGGTCTACATAGTGAGTTCCAGGACAGCCAGGGCTACACAGAGAAAGCCTGTCTCCAAAAACCAAAAAAAAAAAAAAAAAAAGAAGGATTAGAAAGTGTGGCCTTGTTAGAGGAAGTCTGTCACAGTGCAGGTGGGCTTTGAGGTTTCATAAAGCCCAAGCCAGACTTAGTCTGTCTCTCTCTCTCAGCCTGTGGACTAGGATGTAGTGCTCAACTACCGCTCCAGACGGGCCGTGCTACCACCATGTGTGCAGCCATGTTCCCTGCCATGATAAGGAACTGAAAGTGCAAGCAAGCCCCTAATTAAATGCTTTCTTTTGTAAGAGTTGCCTTGGTCATGGTGTCTCTTCACAGCAGTAGGCCAGGGACTAAGGCAGGTTGTGTCTAAGATAAGGTTGTTTTGATGTTAGGACCCAACCTTGTTCTGTGGTAACAGGGAGGTAACTGGAGAAAGCCAGTGGGAGCTCTTTGGCTGTTGGGGGCTCTGGTAGCCAGTGAAGGTGCGACTGGGTGTCTCTTATTACCTGCTGCATGTGGCCAAGCACATTCTT